TTTGTCATCTATTACATTTGTGAATAAAACAAGAGATATACTCAATGAAAATAAACTAGTTTATTCATTCAGTGCTTGGGACAATTCATTTTAAGAAACAAATTATTATTTTGGCATTTAAAATTTCTTTGGACTACCTGAAATGTTGTTTTGTAGCTGGTTTTCATGGGGAAGTTTTTGTCTCTTCATCTGCCTCATTTTTTCATAGGAATTTTGAGTATCATTTGTCATTTCAGGTTTTGCCTTACATGTTTACATCATCTTAAATTTCTACTCATGTCTAATATTATACTATCTACTAAAAGCTGCAGGTTAAGTTTCAAAAATTTCAATTTTTGCTAATTTTTGAATAATTTGTTTTAAGAAACTTCATGTTTTTTTTTTATATTGTAAGTTTAAATGTAACATGAAGGTGTTATTTGGCATAAAAAATAACCTTTAATAATATGCAAAAGTAACAGCTATTATAGGACAGTAAGGTAAAATTAATAAAGAAAAAAGTAATCACTGTTTCTTACTTTATCATACTTTCTGTCTTGCAATTCATGGCTATTCCTCTTTCTATTTTTTTTGATTTCCTTTACTATGTTGTTGAGGAGGCCCTGTAGTTTTCTTTCTGTTAACACCCAGTGGCAAGAGTGTTTCATGCTTAAATGCAAACATATATAGTATACACTGATGCATGAAACAGGCTATTACTGTTGGATGTTTATATCAATGTTCACTTTTATATTTATATACACTATCTCTGATATTGAGATCTTTAACCCATAAACATAGCATACCTTAAAACTATATATATATATATATATATATATATATATACACACACACACACATCTAATTCAACTTTTTCTAAAGTATGCAGGGATACAAATATACATATTCAATGAATATTCATAAGTTAGTTAATTTTAGTGATCAATTTGCTGACTTTTGTGAGTTTAATGCTCACTAGGTGCTCCACAACTATAGCCTTGTATCAGACTGAGCTAAGCTTACTAAAAAAACTATATTCTTGCATTTGGCAGTTATCTGTTACATGTTCAGTAACTGCAAAATTTACTTACATTGTACTTGATGCATTGGAATGTTCAGCTGGTGAAATGTCAGTAATGTGTGTTACACTATCTGAAAAAACAAAATGTTCACAACATAGTCAAGATTCATAAAAATGTAAAGTTTAGTTGTCATCTACTTGTTTTTAGATTGTAACCAATAATAAAAGCAAAAAATGTCACACTTGGAAAGTAATTATATCAGGTCCTTACATTTTTTTAAATATACAATCCTATTATTTTCTCATGTTGTGGAGAAA